GATCTTGCTATGTAGCCAAGGCTAGCCTCAAACTCTGAATCCTCCTGCCCGACTTTCCCTCAGAGCTGAATAAACTTGTTTCTCTACAGTTTTTGCTATGCTGGATTCCTTGACTTAACATTTGAATTTTGGTTTTGCAAAACCTGTAGATCTTGGGCTGGGAAGGTGGCTCAGTGGCTCAGTGGTAGAGCGCTTGCCTTGCATGCCTGAGGCCCTGGGTTCGATTCTTCAGCACCCCATAAGCAGAAGAAAAAAAAAGCCAAAAGTGGTACTATGGCTCAAGTGGTAGTGTGTTAGCCTTGAGCTGAAGAGCTGAGGGACAGTGCCCAGGCCCAGAGTTCAGGCCCCACGACCGGACCTCCCCCCAAAAAAACAAAAACCCTGCAGGTCTTATAAGGGAGATCCTTATTAAAGAGCAATATTTACAAGAAATATTATCATGCCGGGCGCTAATGGCTCACACCTGTAATCCTAGCTACTCAGGAGGCTGAGATTTGAGGATCATGGTTCAAAGCCAGCCCAGGCAGGAATCTCCAATAAACCACCAGAAAACCAGAAGTGGTGCTGTGGCTCAGGTGGTAGAGCGCTTGCCTTGAGCTGAAGAGCTGAGGGACAGCACCCAGGCCTAGAGTTCAAGCCCCACGGCCAACAAAAAAAAGAAAAGAAAAATGATCACAATCGTACAAAAAGCAGTTTCCAGCAGGGAAATGGTGAAGGAAAAGCTACAGAGAGCAGCCAGGCTGGGCAGAAAAGTCCAGGAGACACCATCCCCAAAATACCAAGCAAAGGACAGGGCTGTTAGCTCTTTGTGGCTGTGACAAGGCAGCTGGGAAAACCAGAATTCTGGCTCCAACTGCAATTCTCCAGGTCTCAGCCTCCTGAGTGGCTGGATTACAGGGGTGAGCCACCTGCACCCCGCCCTTTCTCACTTCTGAAAATCACCCTGGCTGGCAGGACAAACAGGCAGGAGGCCAGGCAGGGCACGGCTCTAACGGTGATGGGCTGGAGGGGAGCAGGGATCTTCGTGGTCACTTCAATGGAGAGCTGACAAGCTGCGCTGCTGACCAAAGGGGCCCCGGAAACGCTTGCCTGCGGCCCCGTAATCATGAGCACCAAGCGGTTTCCGGCCCTCGGTGGCAGGGTGGCTGGCATGAGATGTCCAAGAGCCACTTGCAGAAAGGTGGACGCCGGGAGCCTGGCCTGCTAACCAGCTGCTTCCCGTCACCCTGGAGACCACCATTTCCCTGTGTGCTGGGCAGGTGCAGCCTAAGGCCCAGATTCTAAGTGGGTCACACGGAGCCCAGAGCCCCTCACACTGCGGGGCAGTGTTGCTCTTCACGGGCCCACCCTGTCACCTGAGGTCAGAGGTCAGGCTGGTCCCTTGGCTGGGTGGCCTGTCTTCTCTGGAGATGGCTGTGGAAAGGGCTGAGGCCAAGGGCAGCCGCCACACTGGGCGCTGGACGGCCACTCCTGGGGGAAGGCTGAGCACAAGGCCCCACAGCACCAGGGCTTCTTGAGACCCCAGCCTGGGGTGGGGACACATGCTGGGGTCTTACTGGTACAGTCCCGGGCTCACACCAGCCCCAGCACAGGGCCATGGTGTAATGGGGTGTGCCCTGGCTTGGGGTGCAGTGAGAACAGAGCCTTAGGACTTGTGTTGGGGAGGGCTGGGGTTCTGTGGTGATGGCCTTGGCCATGGCTCCCTCTCCGCGCCCCCCCCCGGGCAGGGCCATGGGCTCTGGTGCGTGGTACTCAGGTGGCAGGAGTCACTGAGGGGGCACCGTGCGCCCTGCGGTGGGGGCGGGCTGAGGCAGGCTGCTGGGCCAGGGCCATGGGCTGGTACACAGCCATCAAAGCAGCATTCTCAGGCCGGGCGCTGGTGCATCACACCTGTGAGCCCAGCGACTCACGAGGCAGACCTGCGAATCTGTTTGAAGGCTGGCTGGGCAGGAAAAGTCTGAGACTTTTTATCTCCAATAAACTACTCAAAAAGAAGAAAAGTCTAGAGGTGGCAGGCACAGACACAGACAAAAATACCCCCAACTGCATTCTCCAAAGGTGAACTTGACTGTCTGAAAGACACCTCGGCTTCAAATACTCCCACAGCAGCATAAGGGGCTGCGCTAGGTGCTGGGGCAGCCCGACCCTTCCTGGCGCCCGTGGGCTGTGCCTGGGGACAGGTCCTGCCTCCAAACACAGCTGCCTGCCCCAGGGCAGGGAGAGCAGGGGGCCTGCGGGGTTCAGGAGGCCTACGGCTGGTGGGGGAAGGATGGGAGCATGAGTCAATTCAATGAACGAAGTGGGGGGGGGGAGGACGCCACCCCCCCATCTCCACCTCTCACACGCATTCCCAGCATAGAATCTTTATTGTACATGTTTGCAGCACAGCAAGAGCTCACCCACCCATGGCCCCGCCAACCTTGCACCCATTCCGCGTGTCCATAAATACTCGATGACCATCAGTGTTAAAAAGACCGAGCGCCACTCCCGCACCGCCCCCCCCCCCACCAGTGAGACCTATTTCTGGGCTCTAGACTGACTTCTACCGAAGTCACATGACTAGGAAAAGGCAATTTATAACCTTCAAAAGCCCTTTGAGAAGCCAGGAGTCTCCTGTGCACAGGGTCCAGGCTCCTGCAGCAGCCAGAGACGCTCCCCTCTGCCTGCCACAACCTCACACTGGCCTCGCTCGGCACGCGTGCCCCGATCGGGGGGGGGGGGGGGGGGCAGGGAATGTGCACCTCTGCCGACTCTCTGCCACCGCCTGCTACCTGGCTCCCTTGCTTGGGCTCTGAGGGCCGTGCCTGTCCCCCACGCAGGTGGTGACTACCTGAGGTTGGGAGCTCTTGCGGGGATGTGCAGCGAGCTCTCCAGGGCCGCCACAGCCACACCCCAGGTGAACCCCTGCCCGACCTCCCCCCCCAGGGTAAACAGGATGTGCAGTGATCTCTTAGAACTTTTGGTGTGTTCCAAAGAAATACCTTGTCATAAACCAAGAGGAACTGGGTCAGCGTCTAACGGAAGGCACTAGCACACTGAATCCTATGTGGGAGACGCAGCTGCCATCAACCCGGACTGTGGGGAGGCTGGGCCAGGGGTCAGAGAGCACGGGAAGGATGGACACAGGGCTGGAGGTGCTGACATCTCCCCTGAAATGCAGCAGCTGGGGGGGGGAGGGGGGAGGCGTGAGGCTCTTAAGAGCTCCCTGCTCTCCTGGTGATGGCGTTGGGCCAGAACTGCAGCAGCCAGCCCAGGCTCCCAGCGCCTTCCTCAAGGAAAATGCCTGGGGGGCGTGGCAGAATGCCATGTGCAACCCAAAGGGATGTCCTGCGGTCTTTCTTGGTCCGGCGTGGACTGGTAAATATTAAAGCAGGACGGGCATTCAGACTCGGGAGGCCCGACAGTGGGCCCGAGCTGTGCCGCGGTGCACCCTCTCTCGCCTGCGGCGCCTGCGCACAGCTGCCTGGGGAAGCACTGCAATGCATCCAGGCCTTCCCTAGGCGGGAGCCAGGGCCCAATCGCAATCAATAGGTGCAGGGGGGAGGGGAGGGAGGGAGGAGCTGAGAGAAGAAGGGGAGGAGAGGGAGAAGAGGAGGGAAAAGGAGGAGGGGGAGTGCTAAGGGGGAGGAGGGAGGAGAGAGAGGCTGTGAACCAGGACATGCAAGTGCCATGGCACCTGAGGGGGCCGGTGCTGCCTTGGCTTGTTGGACTCTTATGGGGGGGGGGGGGTTCTTGAAAGGAAACGAACTGACTCAGCCAGGGGTGGAGCAAGCTGCTCCCCGCAGGACAGCGAGCAGCCCATGTGGCGGAGGCCCAGTGAGTTGAGCGAGGGCAGGCGGAGCGGCACCGGGCTCCGCTGGCGCTTGCTGTCATTTGGACGGTGCACAGCACTCTGGGAGCAGGGAGAGGGAGGACACCAGACTATAAATACCGCAGGGGCTCGGATGCGCGCCCCAGCTTTCTGCCCAGCTTTGCCACTGGCACGGGGCTCTGATGGGCCCAGGGCTGGGGCAGGCCAGGAAGGCGGCCGGAAGACGGGCGCTGGGCAGCTGCTGGTGGGTCACAGCTACTCAGTGCTGGCCAGGAGGAAGCCGTGGGCAGGGCAGAATGGAACTTGGTGTTTGGTTTTCCTCACCAGCCCGATCTCAGCTCTGCTCCAGAAGAGCGAGACACAAGCCGGAGCTGGAGCATTCAGCATCGTGGTGCTGAGGGCAGAGGCATGCAGGCACGCAGACGCAGGGCGTGGAGAGGCTCCCCTGCGAGTCCTCAGGCTGCAGCCTGTCTGGGCTGGGCCCTTTCTCTCTGCGCTCACTAGCTTCCGGGCCTCCACCTCCAGGAAGCCCCCCTGGAGGTGAGGCATCATTGCCTGGCGTTCTTGCTAGCTATCTAGTCAACAACCTTGCTGGCAGGAAATAGCACATGTCCTGGGAGACAGAAGTCTCCCGCCTCCTGTCACAGAGCTCCAAGTTTACATGCACTAGTGTACCCTTCCCGAGACCAAAAGGAAGACAATTCAGTGCTTTCTGGATGTGCCTCACCACACAGGACATAGGCCAGCATGGGGTGGAAGTGGGGAGACCCCCATAAATCCTGGGGCTCCTGAGTGTACCCCTGAGGGCCCAGTCCTGACGTAGGTGCAGCTCACCAGCAAGCCAGCAGGCTGCTGTGGAGCGCATGCTGTGCCAGGGGACAGGGGACAGGGCTCGATCCTCTCACTCGGACGCTGCCACGGCATCCTCTTCTCTTCAAACGGAAGCCCGGACGAGACCCTCTGCTTCCTCAGAGGTCTGCACCCCTGACTCTGACAGCAAATGCTGTGTGGGGTCTGGGGACCAGTCCTCTGTGGTGCTCTCCTCCCAGGTCCTGCTCGGCTTCTTAGCACCAATTTGCCCGCACTCAGTGTTTCTCTAGCCCTACCTTTCCTGCCCCCCAGCTGCTCCCGAAGGAGACTTCCACTGCTTCTCCTGCACTCTGGTCACAGGATGCAAGCGACAGGGGAGGCCACCGCAGGCCTCCAGGGAGAGCCCACGGGACACTTTTTGGTTTAGAGATACACGTCTTCCCCGTATGGAGTGGTACTGCTCAGAAAACCCATTCCACAGCAGGGTGGGTCCCAGGATCATGGCCTGAGGCACCACTGGCCCTGGGCACGACACAGCAGGGCAGGGCCCGCGGCCAGCTCCCTGTCACTGTCACAACCTGGAACAAGGTCTGGGACAACCGAGGGTCGGGAAACGGGCAAATGCTACTGGCTGCACTGGGCACTCACCTTGCTTTCTACAAGAATGGCATTTTTGTCCCCCCTCCCCAATTCAAGGACATGGGTCCTCCTGGACAGCTGATGTCCCCCGAGTGACGCCGTGCGCCGGGCAGACACGCCGCCGGCCCCCACCCGGGGTCTCTGTGTGCTGCCCTTGGCCACCAGGCCTGAGTCAGACTGCCGATGGAGAAAGGTCAACTAAAGACAAGCACCCTCTTCATCGTCCTCCCCCCGGAGGACGGACCTGGCTGTCTGTGACCAGCCGCAGATGTTTTCCCAAACGAGCCCGAGGAGGTGTCCCGGCGCTGCTTCTGGTCACAGCTCTGCGGTCACCATCCGGAGGGGCCCAGAGTTCACGGCTAGGACCTGCTCTTGCTCACCAATAGGACTAAGGAGGATTAGAAGTTTACTCTGACAGCGCTTGAGGGCCAGCTGTCACGCGGTGCCTTCCCAGTCCCCTGGGGCCTCCACGCTGCCGTTGGTCACCTTCTTGACCTTCTTCATATTCTCCATGACTCCTGACGAAGTCACTCTGAAATAGGGAAGAAATCAGGCCAATCAGGGAAGCCACAGGTCTTGCAGCCAAGAGCGCCGCAACCGGAGCGCAGTCAGGGTCGGGCCAGGTGCCGGCGACTCGTGCCTGTCAGCCTAGCCCCCCAGGAGGCTGAGACCTGAACCTCAAGGCCAGCCTGAGCACGAACATCTGCAAAGCAGCAAGGAGGCTGTGAGACTCCTCCTCCATTACCAGCAAAGCTGAGCTGGAGGCGTGGCTCAAGTGGTAGAGTAGCAGCCATAAGCAAGCAAGCTAAGTAGGAGTGCGAAGGACTGAGCTCAGAAGCAGTCCTCAAATCACCGTTCCAGTTTTTTTGTTTTTTAAAGAAAGAAAACACATCAGAGTTTTCTGGCGAGCCTCTCTCCTGGCTGGCTACGGAGTGCTGGCTGGGTCACTCGACCTCTCTGAGCTTAATAAGGAACTCACTTTCCAGAATGGTGGTGAGGGAGGGAAAACGGGGAAATGCGCCCTGCCCACTGCGGACCAGTTTTGTTTTTTGTTTTTCTTTTTTAGCCAGTCGTGGGTCTTCAACTCTGGGCCTGGGTGCTGTCCCTCAGCTCTTCAGTTCAAGGCGAGCTCTCTACCACTTGAGCCACAGCGCCACTTCTGGTTTTCTGAGTGGTTTATTGGAGATAAAGAGTCCCATGGATTTTCCTGCCCGGGTTGGCTTTGAACCGTGATCCTCCGATCTCAGCCTCCTGAGGAGCTTGGATGGCAGGCGTGAGCCACCGGCTCCCGGCTGGGGAACCAGTTCTATGTGTGGTATGACCAGGCTGGGACGCGGCTGTCCCACAGCCAGTACCTGGCTCCCCTCCGCATTGCACAGCCCCCAGTCTGTAGGTGGCACACATCATGAGCAGGCTGACCGCCACACACAATTCCCAGTCAGAAAGGCCAGTGCCAGCCAGCCTCAGAGGCTGGTGCTGCGTCCTGACTGTGCCCGGACTGTGGAAGAAGGTGCAGGGGCTTTTAGCACACATGGGTGCTGCCTTCTTTAGGCTGCTACCCGGGAGCTCCAGCAGGGGGCCTCGTTGGGCCGTCAGTGTGGGGCACCGAGGAAGACCATGGGAACCACGAAGGTGAGCAGTGAAAACACTGCGTGGGTCTCCGTGGCCTCAGGAACGGGGGAGGCCAAGCTCTGCACGGCCAGGCCCACGGATACTGCCTGCCCAGCCTGCTCTCCCAATCAACAAAACCAACCCCGCCACCAGCTCCACACTGGCCACCCTGCTGCCACGCCCTCCCTGCTCCCTGCACCTACAGGTGGACCTCATGGCCTTAATGGGCCCAGCGTCAGGCCCTCCACATCCAGGGGCCTGGAAGAGACAGGACTGCAGCCGGGCTGAGCTGGCCCGGCTGTCCCACCCCCCGCCAGCCTCCATCATGTCGCGCTGCCACGACTACTCGGGCTTCCTCAGCTCTGCTCCTGCCCACAAGAACCCCCTGTCCTCCTCTTGCTCCTCCCCTGGCTGGCAGCTGTTCCAAGCTCCGCCCCCTCCCACCCCAACCCCAAATAGGGTGGGTTCCCCGTGGCCCGCTTGTGCTGTGCGGCTGGGGCTGCTGCTCTAGAGCATCCTCTGTGGGCTGGGGCCTCCCTCACGGCGGCAGGCGGGGATCTGCATGCCGCAAGCTCACCACGGGAACAAGGGCATCTGCCAGCAGAGAAGGCTGACAGGCTGACAGAGCTCAGGACACAGCCATCGGAGGGAGGGGACTGGCCCCCAGTGAAGTGGGGGACGGTGGGGGCAGGGTGGATGCAATGTGGAAGGCAGGAGAGGCAAGCCTGGCAAGATGCAGAAGAGCAGTTTCAAGAGAACATGGGCGGATGGAGAGAGACCTGCAGCCAGGCAAGGTGCAGGGAGCGGAGCTGGAGACTAGGGAGGGGATAGGAGTATGGGCTGAGGGAGCCCCAGGGGACATGTTAGGTGGGGTGCGGTGGGGTTCCAGCAGCCTCGCAGTGCTTCCCTGGGGTGCTAGGTTCCACGCAAACCAGAAGGGGACAAGGTGCCCATACCCAACATGGGACCAGCGGCCACACCACCATCACTACTCGCACGCAGCACAGCAGTGGCCACTGCAGGCTGCTGTCGGATGGTTCAGGCTGAGGCAGCCCTGGGCATAGCTGTGTTTAAAGCTGCTACATGGAAGGGCCTGGCTGAGGGATGATGTCCGGAGTCTCAGCATGCGGGGTGCAGTGGAGGGCCAACAGCTGTCCCGAGGATGGAATTCTGGACCAGAGCCCAGGGAGGCAATGTCCTGGCACTGGGCCCACCCAGGCATTTCCCAAGGGACAGAAATAACGAGCGCATTAAAGCTGTGCGGAGCGCAGAAGGCGCTATACCAAGTCTGCTTCTCAAAAGCTCATCCAATACTTTTCAGGTTGCTGAATTTTATACAAGCCTCTCCGCAACACGGGCAGGCCCAAGGAGACACAGAAAGCAGTCCGGGGGCACTTTCGGTTCTGTCCCTCCAAAGAGAAACACCGAACGAACGTCCCTGAATGTCCCGATTCACTTTCCTCGCTGAGTTAAGGCACTCTGCCTCCACCACGGGCCGAGTGCCTGCGTGGCCCTGGTCATGCCACCCACCCTGCACACACGCTGCTCCTCAGCGAGGGCCCCCCTCCCCTGCCACTGCAGAGCTCCACGAAGCCAGGAGACACTCGTGCTGAAGCGCTCTTCCCGTCCCAGGAGGGCAAACTGATGCCACACCAAGGGCCTGAGCCCCTCTCCTCGCTCTAGCTCCCAAGTCTGTTGGCATGGGCACCTTCCCTCGCTCCCTTCATCTTCCTCGCTGAATGAACACACACAGGCTCTTTGCTGAACTGTGAAATACCATCAGAGAGAGCAAACAGCACACCAAAGCTTCCATCTCTGCAGCCTCTCTTCATCACCCAGGGCTGAGGCAGACATGGGGGCCGGGCGCTCCTCCATGACGTTGCCATTCAGTCCAGCGGAGGATGCTGGGAGCAGGTCACTGGCCACGGAGAACCTATCAGGCCGCAGGTGTGTCTGCACGGCATGGGCTGAGCATGCTGTTCAGATCTTGCTACTTGTGCCAAGGGCTCCTGCTGGTCCCCACTGTGGGTAGACATGCTTTCTTACTCTGCACAGCGACATGCTCTCAGGGTCCCCCTGCAGAACTGGCTTCGCTTGGGCCCCGCTGGAGCAGCTGGCATGAAGAGCTGTCAAATGCCAGCTGCCCTGGCAGCCAGGCAGGGCTCAGTGCGGGCTGAGCCTCTGCCTCTGAACTGTGAAACGACAAGAGGCCAGGGCAGTACAGAGGCTCCTGGCAGCGTGAGGGACCTCAGGCTGGACCTGACCGCCAAACACAGCATGACCCAGCTCATCAGACTCAGAGCCACCAAACAAAGACACTCATCGCCACCTGTCATCGGAAACGACTGCCCTTTCCCCAAAACCAGGACCCCAGAGCCCTGCCCTGTAACCCAGGGGTCAGAAGCGCTGCGGCAGCTGTGAGCTGCCAGTCCCCTGCCACAGTGTGACTGGGAGAGGGGCAGACTCGCAGGAACCGTGAGGCTGATTCCAGGCAGAAGCCACCAATGCAATGGTGGGCCTGGCAGCCTGCTGCCAGCTGTCTCCTCACGCGCTGGCCCCACAGCACTGGGAGCAGCGCAGCGATGACCACTACAACGGCGAGCTCCGCCATTCCGTCCTGGCAGGACGGAGCAGGGGCTGGCTGGGAGGGCTCGCGCCCCTGTCCAGCGGTGTGGGAGGGCGGTGTCCACCCCGTCCCGGGCTGCTTTCCCCACACAAAGGGAGCGGGTGAAGGAAGAAAGGGAGGAAGGTATCTTACACGGATTCCATTTCCAGGTCATCTTCCTCCTGAGACAGCTGCAGGTAAGGGTTATCGGAAGCCGGACGGAATTTACACCCCGTCAGGACAAAGAACACCAGTGTGGCTGTTTCATCCAGGAGCTGTGAATTTAAAAACCACCCCAGGTCATCAGAAAGCAGCGGAACTAAACAATCCGACATTTCCCCAGCATCTCTGCCCGCCAATTACCAACTCAGCATTTCCAGCTCTGAGCTGACACTGAGGAGGCATTACTTAGTCTTCTCAGGGAACTCCCACTTTCTGTTTTGAAAATTAGTCTCAATATGTAACTGGGCTGGTCTTGAACTCACAATCCTGCCTCAGCCTTCTGGGTGCTAGGGTTCCAAGTGGGCACCACCGTATTCAACTGCACTGTACCTTTAGGAGACTGTTTAATACCCTTGCTGATCTATAGTGGTTAAGGCATTGAGTTGAATTCTTCAAGAACAAAGGTTTTTGGGCTGGGGGTATGGCTCAAGGGGTAGAGCACCTGTTTAGCAAGTGTGAGTCCCTGAGTTCAAATCCCAGCACTACTGCCTCCCTCTGGGAAAAAACAACAAAACAACCAAAGGTCTCTAAATCATTTGGTGGCTTCCCCTGGCAAGCTAATCAGTTCTACAATTTTGCGAAGAAATGTTACGATTAGGCCAGGTGCTGGTGGCTCATGCCTGTAATCCTACTCAGGACACTGAGATCTGAGGATCATAATTCAAAGCCAGCCCAGGCAACGAAGTCCATGAGACTCTTATCTCCAAATAACCAGCAGAAAACCGGAAGTGGTGCTGTGGCTCAAGTGGTAGAGCGCTAGCCTTGATTGTTGAAAGATAGCACCCAGGCCCAGAATTCAAGTCTCATGACCAAAAAAAAAAAAAAAAAGTAGTAATAATAATTATAATAATACAGCAT